TTCATATAGCCCCCATATAAAGGTACCTCCCGATATTCGGTATTTTGATGATTTTAGCGTCATTATTCACCGGAATTGTTTCAAATTTGGCATTTAAAGTTCATAATGGATACTACAGCCTAAGACAGAAAATTGTCTGTGCAGGTCCACGTCTTCGTATAGCCCCCATATAACGGTACCTCCCTATATTCTGTATTTTGATGATTTTAGCGACATTATTCAAATTTCAAATTTAATATTTGTTTCAAATTTAATATTTGAAGTTCCAAAAGTACAGCCTAAGGCAGAAAAGTTACTGTGTAGGTCCATGTCTTCGTATAGCTCCCATATAACGGTACCTCCCTATATTCGGTATTTTGATAGTTTTAGCGACATTATTCACCGAAATTGTTTCAAATTTGGTATTTGAAGTTCGTAATGCATACTACAGCCTAAGACAGAAAATTGTCTGTGCAGGTCCACGTCTTCGTATACCCCCATATATAAGTACCTCCCTATATTCGACATTTTGACGAGTTTAGGTACAATACCCACCGATATTGTTTGAGATGTCGTATTTAAACTTCGTAATGGATGCTACAGCCTCTGGCAGAAAATTGTCTGTACCTCCTACCTCCCTATATACGATATTTTAATGATTTTAGCTACATTATTCACCGTATATATCATGTTATCGAATTTGAATATGGTAATGGCTTTGACAAACAATGCCTTTGTAGGTCCACGTCGCATAGACCCCAATAAAACGGCTATATTCGGTACTTTTAAATTTTAAACGGAATTTTTTAAGGATTTTATTTTTTGAAAATTTTCCAAATTCATTCCAAATGGTGGAGGGTATTCAATGTTCGGCCCCACCGAACTTACTGTTTATACCCTACATCACAAGGTGGTCAGGGTATTATGTCTTTGTGAATTTGTTTGTAACAGGCAAAAGTAAACGAGATAGACCCATAGTTCCTTTTGACGATCTGCATAGAATCACATTCTGAGTCTCCGTCCGTCCGTCCGTCCGTCTGTCCATGTATTTTTGCAAACAAAGTACAGTTCGCATTTATTGCCCTCTCCAGATGATATTTTGTTTGTTTGGCCCAAAGACGAACCCTATTGAAATTTGAGATGATCGGTCAAAATTTAGATATAGCTCCCATATATATCTTCGTCCGATTTGCTTTTTATTGTGCACCAAACGTGTAATATCAGTCCGAATAGTATGAAATTTTGCACGTACGATCAGATTGAACCTGAAAATAAGTATGCCAAATTTGATCGAAATCGGTTCAGATATAGCTATAGCTCCCATATATATTGTTCATCCCATTTGTTATTTTTGTCCTCCGCAGCCGTAATATGCACTCTGTAACAACAATATTTGGGGAAATATATCAAATGCAGCTCAGAAATAACTTTGCTAAATTTTATCGAGATCTGTTCAGATTTGGATATAGCTCCCATATATAACTTCGTCCGATTTACCTTTTATTGTGCACCAAACGTCTAATATTTTGGCACTTATGACCGAATTAAGTCTAGAAGTTTGTATGTCAAATTTGGTGAAGATCGGTTCAGATATAGCTATAGCTCCCATATATACTGTTCATCCGATTTGTTATATTTGTTACCCACAGCCGGGGAAATATATGAGGGAAATATATGAAATACAGCTCAGAAATATCTTTGCAAATATTTAACGAGATCGATTCCGATTTGGATATAGCTCCCATATATATCTTTATCCGATTTCAAATTAATTGAGCACCAAATGGGCAATACGAGTCCGAATTTAAAAGATACAAATTCTTCGGCATATTTAGTCCTTTGAACTTTAAATTATAATTATAATCATAGCGTGTATGATTGAATTCTCCCATAAAAACTTTTAATTGTTATGCGGAGCTCTACTAACTTAGCAAAGTGGTGTAGGGTATCATAAAGTCGGCTCGCCCGTCTCTAAGACTTTCTTTACTGGTTTTTAACTTGTTTTTATTTAATACTTTAATAGAGTATGAACAATTTCTTTCAGGGAAGGATGCATAGCATCTATGTCAATATTAGTAACACTCAGTCGCTTAGTTTTTTATTATTATTATTTAGTTTTTAAATTTACCAAAGCTAAAAATACGGCCTCACACAGGCACGAAGTAGCAAAGGAGGTAAGGACGTTGTGCTGACAAGGGTGTTTCCCAGAAACTTAGAATCAGAATCGCGTTAATTGTTTGCGATTTAAGGTATTTTTCAGTGATGTATCATCCAATAATTCAATGAGCTCTTCACTTGCTTTTGTCGATATATTGGTCGGTAGTTGGTCCAGAAATTACATATCCAATTCGACTTTTCCAACTTTTTCAACTCTTCCCCGAAATGGGTGTCAAATTATTTTTAACTATGATAATTTCGAGGCGATTGCAGAAAATTCGATCTTAATACAATTCTCTCTCCCATATAAGTAGTTTTTTCATGATTGCTTACAGAACAAAATATATTCATCTATTTGTCTTTTCAGAATTTAATTATAGTCCTAAATTTGTTAATATGAGTAAACCGGCTGACCAAGTCCGGGTTGCTGGTCCATTTTTTTTAGTTTTGAAAGATTTTGACTTCAATGAATTGACATAAAAACATACTGAGAGCTTTTCTTATCAACTTTCAGTAGGCCTATTCTGTAACTTTTAAAAACTCTTGTTGTTATTGTAACAAAAACAGACAAATGATTTTTTTTTTTGTAAAATATACAATGGGTAAAGTTGTTAAATGTTAATACTTACAGAATAGGCCTACAGGTCTACGACTTATATCACATTTATGTATCACTTACTGACTTTTAATTGGAGTTAAAGCCTTTGAACCAACGAATCCCAATTAAAGTATCTAAACTAAATATTTTCGACGGTAAAGGTTTTATTTAGAACCTTGTATTCAACTTAATATCACTAAAATTTGCGGCACGATGATTTATCATAAAAATGTTCTGTGCTTATAAAAAAACTACAATAATGGGATTAAGCCTAACTGTCTTGAAACAAGAAATAACTACGATTCTATCCTAGTAAAAGTTAAATTTTTATCGTCGCTATTTTCAATTTTGAATCCTATAGTAAATATATAAAAACTATAGAATCCTTGAAAGACGAATATTTTTTGTCGTATTTCGGAAATTGTGCACCTTTTTGTCTTTTTGTAAATATATAAAGTGTCTGTTCACCTTTTTTAATTCTTTTGTAGATTTGTGTTGATGATATTCGGTAAAGTGTTCCTATGTCCTGAAAAACGCTACATACCAAATTAAATGTTGGCTGAGAATTTTTTTAATGAAAATTGACTTTTTTTGTAGCAAGTTAGAAAGTTTCTGACGGTTATAAGTCATTCATACGGTTGAGATGAAAAAACTGCAACCAACTTCAAACTGCTGCCATTTCCAAGCCACTCGTCCGACAGCTGTTAAAATTATTGTTTACAAGCGTACAAAAGCATTTTGATGAGAATTTTCCAGAGAAAAGTTATTCGTGATGGAATTCAAGCGTGATAGTGTGATTTCTTTATATTTGGCAGGAAAATTCCAAGTGGCTATAGTTAGAACACTCCAGCATTTAAATGTGAATAAATCTTTTGTGTCTAGTACCATCCCTCGTTACCGTGATACTGGTAGCGTAGGCCGACGTCAAGGAAGTGGACGGAAGAAAACAGCAACATCAGCAGAAACGGTTCGAAAAGTTAAGAAGCGACTTGATCGAAACCCGCGTCGTAGTTGTCGATAAATGGCTCATGTGCTGAACAATTCGCAATATTCCATTGCAAATATTGAAAAATGAGCTCGGGGTAAAGCCATCGAAATTCAAAAAAAGTGCAAGAACTTACACCGCAACAGAAAGAAAATAGACTCAAAATAGCTAAAGAATTGCTTCGCTATGCCGAAAGTGGTGAACTGCCGAATGATCGTGATCGTGATCGAACAAAATGGTCGTGTTTACTTGCCAAAGAGGTTAGCTGAAAATGTGCACCTTCGGTTGGCCACCAGAACTCAAGTGCCGGTCATGATAATGGTGTACGCCGCCATAACAGCCGCCCGAATATTATCGCGAAAATATTCTGGAGGGTGTATTAAAGCCTTAGGCACGCAAACATTTTGGCCGCAGACCTGGGACATTCTAACAGGACTCAGCACCATCGCACTCAGCACGCGCCACCCAAGAATGGTTACAAAATGAGGTTCCTCGCTTCATTTCCATCGCACAATCGGTACCAAAATCTCCGGATACAAATCCGTTGGACTATTGTGTCTAGAGTATTTTGGAAAGCAAGGTTGGCACTAAAAATACCAAAGTGTCGATCACCTCAAGCAAGCGCTTCGCCGGGAATGGGCCAAAACACCACATAGTAACATTCGGGCAGCGTGTGACGGTTTATTGACCGCAAATTGTGTCAAAGGTGACCATATATAAACTTATTCTAAAATTTGATGCTATTATTATATTACCCTGTATACCCTCAGCATTTGACCAATTCGACAGCATTACATCTCGCACAAATATAAAAAATAATAATCATAACATTCCTTATATCGAATGCTGAGGGTAGATATCTGTCGGAACACCGACCAAAATTTCTAACTTCTTCCGTATGAAATGATATATAAACCTTCTGCAGCCAGGCAGCCGAGGATACAAACATAATCTATATTTTGCCTTTTAATGTAAACTAAGTAGAATATTAATCAAAATCAAAAAATTGACTTGGACCCTCAACAACTATTAAACGACTTTTTATGAAATACAATATGAAGGAAAGCTTCAGATATTGCCTGTCCAATAGAGAGAAAAATTATTCTGACATTTGAACCACTGCCATGCACCACTCGAGCAGCAAGCTCTGCCTGTCTCTGAATCTGGAGAGATTGTTAAAAACTTTTGGGCCAAAACAAACATTTCATTCCCCACGTAGCCCACAAAAAAAACTGAAAATTAAAAAGAAAACCTTATTGACAGAAGAAAAGAAAAATAAGGTTTTCTGGTGTCGTATCCAACGACTTTGATTTTTCTTATTTTGTAATATAAAATTTACAATAAAAATATATTTAAATAAAAATAACACAGTATATAATTAAACACTAGAAATAGTGTCTTTAAAATAACAAAAATGCATACCCTGTGAAAGTGAAGTGTGAAAAAAGCTGGCAACCGGAATGGTTCATTAAAAATAGAGATAATGCTAAGAGCTAGAGACGAATAAACTTTTTACTGGATCGCGACTTTGCCAAGGAATGTTTCGCATCCATATTTCTTTTGTACTGGTGTCATGTTCTGGGACACCGAAAATACCGAAGTACCGTGTATCCTAAACCACGAAATAGTACCAGGAATGAGACCAGAACCAATGTGTTCAGCCATAGAGGCGTTGTGTAATTTTGAGATCTTAGAATGTCTTCATATGGTATTGTATCGCTATTGGCACACGCCTCATAGCTGCTCGGTTGTTTGCATCTGAAATGAAGCGCCAGTTAATTTCATTTCTTTAACGATTAATTATATAAGTGTACGTACACAATGGGCGCTCCTTCCCTGAATTCCAAGATTTGCATATTCTGGTAGGCATAATGAATCATTGATGTGTACCGAATCCAACTAAGAAACTCGGGAATCCGCGTTGACAGAAATCCGCCAAACAGCTGAGTTGCCAGTGTGTAAAGAGCACTAAGCGTTATACTCACATTCATGTCCATGCAGCAGGCGCCGATAAAGAAGCCAACACTTTGTGCTACCACGGTATTGAGGAGCAGGAATACCAGCATCAAGAGAAATAGCTTGAGGCTGCAATAACCAGATTGTATTATTGTTCTTATTAACAAAAAGTATAGAAATTCCAAAGATGGACAGTTCAAATATTTTAAATACATTCTAAACCTGACAGAAACTTTTATTGGCAAGACCTACCGTAAGAGATAAGAACAAGTTAAAAAGCACTAAGTTCGGCCGTGCCGAACTTTTAATACCCTCCACCATTTGCAACGAATTTGGAAATTTTTAAAAAATAAAGTCCTTAAAAAATTCTATTAAAATTTTAAAAATACCGAATATAGCCGTTATATTGGGGTCTATACGACGTGGACATACATAGGCATTGTTTGTCATAAACGGTGAATAATGTAGCTATAATCACCAAAATATCGTATATAAGGAGGTGCCGTTAAATTGGATATGTGCAAAGACCTGGACCAGCATAGACAATTTTTTGTCACAGGCTGTAGCATCCATTACGAACTTCAAATACCACATTTCAAACAATTTCGGTGGGTATTGTACCTAAAATCGTCAAAATACCGAATATGGGGAGGTACTGATATATGGGGCCTATACGAAGACCTGGACCCGCACAGACAATTTTCTGTCACAGACTGTAGTATTCATTACGAACTTCAAACACCAATTTCGAAACAATTCCGGTGACTAATGTCGCTAAAATCATCAAAATACCGAATATAGGGAGGTACAGTTATATGGGGGCTATACGAAGACGTGGACCTGCACAGACAATTTTCTGTCTTAGGGTGTAGTATCCATTTTGAGCTTCAAGTACCAAATTTGAAACAATTCCCGTGAATAATGTCGTTAAAATCATCAAAATACCGAATATCAGGAGGTACCGTTATATGGGGGCTATACGAAGACATGGACTTGCACAGACAATTTTCTATTTTAGACTGTAGTATTTATTACGAACTTCAAATACCAATTTTCAAACAATTCCGTTGAATAATGTCACTAAAATCATGAAAATACCGAATATAGGGAGGTACTGATATATGGGGGCTATACGAAGACGTGGACCTGCACAGACAATTTTCTGTCTTAGGGTGTAGTATCCATTTTGAACTTCAAATACCAAATTTGAAACAATGCCAGTGAAAAATGTCCCCAAAATCATCAAAATACCGAATATAGGGAGGTACCGTTATATGTGGGCTATATGAAAACGTGGACCTACATGACCCATTTACGAACTTAACCTGCCTACTGGAAAAATAAACATGTGTGCAAAATTTTAGCCATCTATCTTAATTCATTCGAAAGATAGCGTGATTACAACAGACAGACAGACAGACGGACAGACAGACAGACAGACGGACATCGCTAAATCGACTTAGAATTTTACGCAGATCAAGAATATATATACTTTGTTGGGCCTGACATGAGTATTTCGAGGAGTTACAAACGGAATGACAAAGTTAATATAGTATAATATGGTGGAGGGTATAAAAAATATTTTGAGATTATAATGTAAAATGTGGCTAAATGGCAAATAGGATAGATCAATCTAAAAGAAGATGAGCAGTTCCAAATTTAAACCGCTATAGGGTCGTAAAACAAATAAATTACCAATAAAAGAGCTCTAATAAATATTCACGGATGTGTTGGTGTCATAAAGTCGGCCCCGCTCGATTTTTGTCTTTTAATGTACTGTAGGAAGACGGGAATTATTGAATTTGTAATTCAAATTATTTCACTTGTAATTTGAATCATTTTATTTGTAATTCGAAATAGCAAATATAAAGCCAAATAGCAAATATAAATGCAATTTTCTATTGTTTCGAATTTCAAATGGAATAATTCTAATTTCAAATGAAATAATTCGAATTTAAAAATTCCCGCCTTCTTATGAAAAATGTGCACGGTTGGAAAAGGCATTGGAAAAGCCACACACACACCAGTTAACACTATGCAGCAAACTTGGCCTTAAGCCTATGTCGAGCATAATAGAAAGTGCCAGTGGTACGGTACACAAAAAGTAATTCAACTACTGTTTAGGTACGGCAATGTTTCTGGTTTGAATGATCATTAACAGCGGGAAGAAGCTTAAGAAGATCCACTATTACAGGATGATAGTAAAATTAAAAAGAAAACCTAATTGACAGAAGAAAAGAAAAATAAGGTTTTCTGGTGTCGTATCCAACGACTTTGATTTTTCTTATTTTGTAATATAAAATTTACAATAAAAATATATTTAAATAAAAATAACACAGTATATAATTAAACACTAGAAATAGTGGCTTTAAATCAGGGCAAGGCAGAGAGCCTCAAAAATTTTTTGTGATTGTATGTGTTTTGAATTAACAAAAATATTGCAAGTGTTTTTTTGCCTTCTGTACAGAGTGAGAAATAATTTGTTATATTTAAATTTTCAATTTAAAATTTTCTGTTTTCAAAACAACTTTGTTGGTAAAAATTAATATTTTGATTAGACAATTCGGAGATATATTTGCACAATTTTTTCAATTATGATTAATTTTAAAATGAAACAAGTAAAAGAGCTATAAGTTCGACCTGACAGAGCTTTGAATACCCTCCACCATCTGGAACGAATTTGGCAATTTTCGAAAAAATTAAATCCGTTAAAATCTTAAAAATAACGAATGTTGCCGTTATATTAGAGTCAAAACGACGATGTGGACCTGCATAGGTAACTTTTGTCATAAACCATTACAATATTCAAATTTGAAACTTGAATAAAAGAAACGGTGAATAATGTAACTAAAATTATCAAAATACCGATTATCGGGAGGTACCGTTATATGGAGGCAATACCTAAACGTGGACCTACATGGCCCATTTTCAATACCAAAAGTCCTGACATAATATACATTTGAGCAAAATTTAATTTATCTACTTCATTTCGTTCGGAAGCTAGAGCGATTTCCACGGACGGACATCGTTAAATCGAAATAGAATTTTATATATATTTTGTGGGGTCTAAAATGTATATTTCGAGGTATTACAAACGGAACGTCAGACTTAATATACCCTACATATTACGGTGGAGGGTATAAAAAATAATATAAATGTCCTTCAAAAATATATAAGTTAACATAATTTTGATGTTATTTGTGTTTAATAACCATCAAAGTTGACCCTTTAAAAAGTAATACCGATTTCCACAGGCTGGCATACGCAAATAGTCGTTGAATTTTATGCTGATCAGAAACTCATTTTCTGCGTTGGGTTCTAACAGATTATTTGTAATAATTACAAACAGAATTGTAGGGTCTACAAAGTATATATATTCTTAATCAGCATAAAATTCTATGTCGATTTAGCGATTTCCGTCCGTCCGTCTATCCGTCTGTAGAAATAACTCTAGCTTTCGAACGAAATGAAGTAGGTTAATAAAATTTTACTCAAATGTATATTACGTCTGCAGGACTTTTGGTATTGTCCACGTTTTGGTATAGTCCCTATATAACGGATTTTTTTAAGTTTCGCATTTGAATTTTGTAATGGCTTATGACAAAAATTGCCTTTGCAGGTCAACGTCGTCATGTAGACCCTAATATAACGGCTACATTCGGTATTTTAAAGATTTTAACAAAGTTTTTAACGGATTTTATTTATTTGAAAATTGCCAAATTCGTTCCAAACGGTGGAGGGTATTCAAAGTTCGGCTAGGCCGAACATATAGCTTTTTTACTTGTTTTATTTTAAAAAGAAATATTATTGAAATAATTTGCAAATATATCTCCGAATTGTCTGATCAGAATATTATTTTTTACAAAGTTGTTTTGAAAACAGAAAATTTAAAATTTAAAGATAAGAAATTATTTCTTATTTCTTTACACAGTGAGTAAAGAGAGGCAAAAAAACACTTGCAAAATTTTTTTATTTCAAAACACATACAATCACAAAAAACAGTAATTGTAAAAAATAAATTGTTTTGAATTTTCTGTCAAAATGGTTTTGGGAGAATATTTAGTTTTGTTCGAGCAGTCGTTGAGGAAGGTGCTGTCGGATATTTTTATGAATACACCGTAAGAAATATTGGAGCCCAAATATATCTTACTACATATTCGGAACAAATATTTCCGAATTTGTAAAAATTATAAATTTTAAGATTTTTCTTTTTTAATTGAATTCTATTTGATGAAATTTACATACGAATTCAGGAATAGGAATTTATTTCATATTGTTAGACAAATTTATTGTCCTTCCAAATTAATGGACATTTTCATATCCCTTGATTTCTCTGAAATTATATGTACGTTCTTAGTCAATATTAGGGAAAATAACAGGATGTGATGTTTGTCATTCTGTTTGTAATTCATAGACATAATATTTTAGGACCCAACGCAGGATATTCGTTTCTGATCAGCATACAATTCTACAACTATTTGCGTATGTCAGCCTGTGGTAATCGGTATTAATTTTTAAAGAATCAACTTAGATGGTTAGGATGTTAAGTCCGAAATTATTATTTGTGTTTAATATTTTTTTAAATAAAAATTATATAAAATTTTATTTTATATATTTTTTTTTATTTTAAAATGCAACATAATTGAAATAACTGTGCAAATATATCTCCGAATTGTCTGATCAAAATAATAATTTTTAACAACGAAGTTGTTTTTAAAACGGAAAAATTATAAATTGAAAATATAAAGATAACCAATTATTTCTCACTCTGTAAAGAGAGGGAAAAAAACACTTGCAATATTTTGTTATTTCAAAACACATACAATCACAAAAAATTTTTGAGGCTCTCTGCCTTGCCCTGCTTTACAGCAAGAATAGAAATTCATTTCATATTGTTAGAGAAATTTATTGTCCTTCCAAATTAATGGACATTTTCATATCCATTGATTTCTCTGACATGATATGTACGTTCTTAGTCAATATTGGGAAAATTTTGTTTGTCATTCTGTTTATAATTCATAGAAAAGAAATTCAACTACTGTTTAGGTACGGCAATGTTTCTGGTTTGAATGATCATTAACAGCGGGAAGAAGCTTAAGAAGATACACTATTACAGGATGATAGTAACGATGACAATTGGTAAATATTATATATTTTATTAATTTAATGGCGACAATATAGGAATTAAATGATACCCATTGTAATGATACAATTTAGGCTTTTATTTTAAACGAATAAAAAAGCAGCAAAGTTCGGCCGAGTCGAACTTTTAATACCCTCCACAAATTGGAAGGGACTTGAATATTTTCAAAAAATTCAGAAAAATACCGCTTAAATGAAAAACTTTATGTGGGGCTCTACGAAAATGTAGACCTACATAAGTAATTTTTTGCCATAGGCTGTAGCACCCATTAAGATCTAAATAAATAAGACATTTTGAACAGTTCCGACGAATAATGTCGCTAAAATCATCAAAATACCGAATATTGGGAGGTATCGTTATATGGTAGCTATACGAAAAACAGGACCTGAATACCCAATTTTTTTTCATAGGATGTAGTACCTATTACGAACTTTAAATACGAAATTTGGGACAATTCCGTTATATAATGTATCTAATACTATAAAAATACTGAATATTGAGAGGGAATAGGGGCTATAAGAAAACATGTACTTATATAAATAATTTTTGTCATAGGTTGTAGTACCCATTAAGATCTTCCAAAGCAACATTTGAAACAATTCCGGTCTATAACGTTGTTGATCAGCATAAAATTCTATGTCGATTCAACAATGGCCGTCTGTCTGTCCGTTCGCCTGTGAAAATCACTCTAGCTTCTGAACGAATTGAAGAAGTTTGATCAAATTTTACTCAAAAGTGTATTTGGTCTACAGAACTTTTGGTATTGAAAGTGGGCTCTATAGGTTCCCTATATTCGATATTTTGATGGTTTTGGCAACATTGTTCGTAGGAAATGTTTCGATTTTCATATTTGAAGTTCCTAGTAGGTACTACTTACAGCCTGTGACAGAAAATTGGGTCCAGGTGTTCGTATAGCCCCCAATAACGGTACTTCCCTATATTCGGTATTTTGCTGATTTCAGCGACATTCGTCACCGGATTGGTTTCAAATTTCGTATTAGCACTGCATAACGACTACTACAATTTGTTACAAAAAATTGCGTATGCAGGTCCACGTCTTCGTATAGCCCTCATTTTTAGCGACATAATTCACCGGAATTGTTTCAAATTTGGTATTTGAAGTTCGTAATGGATACTTCAGCCTAAGACAGTACATTGTCTGTACAGGTCGACGTCTTCATATATCCCCCACATAACGGGACCTCCCGATATTCGGTATTTTAATGATTTTAGCTACATCATTCACCGATTTTTTTAAGTTTCGCATTTGAATGTTGTGATGGCTTATCACAAAAGTTACCTATGCAGGTCCATGTCGTCGTATAGACCCTAAAATAACAGCTACATTCGGTATTTTTAAGATTTCAACATAATTTTTAACGGAAATTATTGTTTTTGAGAATTGCCAAATTCGTTCCAAATGGTGGAGGGTATTCAAGGTTCGGCCTAGCCGAACTTACAGCTTTTTTACTTGTTTTATTATTTTTTATGTTTTTATACCCTCCATCGTAAATAGAAGGATATATTAAAATTGTCATTCCGTTAAAATCACGATAGAGCCCACATTATTTGAAGTAGAGCTTTAAAATTTGGCAGAACAATTTGTATTGTGTCTAGAATGGTTGGTATTGAAAATGAGATATATCGGTCCACGTTTTGGGATAGCCGCCATATAACGTTACCTCCCGGTATTCGGTGTTTGGATGATTTCCGCCACATTTTTTTCACGAATTTACCGATATTCGGTAATTTGATAATCCTAGTCACATTTACCAACGAAATTGTCCCACATTTTGCATTGAAGAAGATTTGGTAGATGAAAATTCTTGAAGTATAACATTGTCTATAGAGGTTTCCGTTTTGATATGGTCCACACATAACTTCCTCGCCTATTTTATGGTTTTTTGAAAAGTTTAACAGCATTATACAAATGGTCTTACTGATATTTGTAGTTTAAGTGGAACAAGTTTGAATTCAGATACTTGTATATAATAATGTTTTCTTTGCCCAATGGTGGAGGGTATTTCTTTTAAAAATGATTTTTTAGTTTTTAAAACAACAATGTTGTTCTTGTAAAATGTTAGTTTTTGTAGCTGATGCACCTTGAGCCGACCTTAAAGTACGATTACATATAAATGGGTTAACCCACTGGATTTGAATTAAAATTGTAATATCCATTACCTATACTTCAAATGACCCTGCAAAAAGTTCTAACGTAAACTTGGCATAAGATACGCCATGTACAGGTCACATGTTTTATTTTTCTATTTATTTTATTATTTTAGAGAAGCAGGACAATTAATGTTATGTTTTACTCCTTTTTACTTGAACGTTTTGGTGTATAAGGAAATAAAGGGCGAAATATTGTATTCGCTGTAGCAGAAAAGTTTTAACACTCATATTGGTTGTAATTTCATCAATTCGCCTTTTGTGCGACTTTGATACGAAACATTAATGTACAGTTTTTACCTTGAACAACCCAATAAGGAATATGATATCAGCAGATAGACTGTTGGTAATGTTACAACCAACGGCAGCTCTCCGAACATTTTGGCCAAGTAATAAGCTGACAATCTGTATGACCCAGAACGCCTTTCTTTGTTGATAACCTCCCGCTCTGAAGGAACTATTTGTGCAATAATAATAAAGAAAACAATTTAACAAACTAAACAATCACATCATACATACATACGTACATGAATTTAAAGCACCAAATAATGCAAACAGCATCCAATATGTTTGTGAGAAAAACATCCATCCTTGAAGGTCGTGCAAGTATTCTTCAGTTCGCGGAATATCGTACCATATGGCGCCGGTCATTAGCGATAGACCGATAGTTTGAAACCAATTGAGCTTCGAAAGCATGCGTGCTTTGGCTTCCTTGAAGTTTCTATTGGACAGCACCCGGAATTGGGTGTGAAACTGGGTTGGATAATCGAGCCAATCCGGATTATCAATGGGTAAAGTACTGGTGTCCGATTGCAACTCGCTGGGGCACAATTGTTGTGTGGCCTCTTCACAACTCCTTTGGCACGACTCAAGATTAAAATTCAGTCGACTTTCCTTTGATTCGCTGCCCAGACGATTTCCACTCATATGTACATCGTTATAGTAATTGTGAATTATATGGTTGATCAGCACATTGTCCTGGTGCTTTTCTTCGTTGCTGGCCATCGCCTTGGAACAAAATCTTTCTATTTCGTTGGCCTCAATGATGCCATTGGTTCCCAGGCAGTTCTGATTTAGAAAATTACTGTAGGATTCTTTTGCCGCCACAAAAAGTTTCTCTCGTGTATCAGGATTCGATTTTATCTGCTCAACTGAAATGCAAATATTAAACTTAACTTATTTTGTGGTTGCTCATGCGGGACAATAAGTCCGCGTGCAATTTGTATGTACATATATAAATGAAGTATGGTTAAAGATAATGTTTAAATATTGCATAATTAAGATAAACAAAATAATTAATACAGCGAGTTTCTGAGTGGTCCCAGTCCGACAAATGGGCGGACGATTTCAAAGACATGGTGGTATAAATTAAAGGCCTGCACAAGACGAATTGTATGAATTATGCTTTTTTCGACACACTGACTTTGTCTACTCAATCATGCGCTATGTATTTGATAGGCAATGACAACCAACAACATCCCCCATTTTGATTCATGTGTGCCATTGTCTAAGGTTCGATCATGGCATGGCTGACTCGAATATTTGCATGGTGTTCTCCATAAATGCAGGGTGTCAACGATGACATCGAACCGTGTCAACGATGACATCGAACCGTGTCATCGTCAAATTGTGTGTCATTTGTGTACGTGTGCTTATATTGAGAGAGTGTGTGTGTTACTTTCGACGGTGAAGGTGTGTTTTTGTGTGTGCTGTAATTTTGAAGTAACAAACTCCGCGTAAATATAAAATTGAGTTCAATAACAAAATGTGCATAGACATCAACAAATGGATAGAAAAAATGAAATATATACTGAATAATCCCAATTTATTGGTAATTATCATAAAATGTTGGTCATAAAAAGAGGTAAATATTGTTTGCCTATTTTCTGTCTACACATAGTGTTCTTTTAAAATTAAAGTTTGTGGACAGAGATTTGACTCTCATTCAATAACAGAATATGCACAGAATTATATAGTGTTGTTACGTCAATTGCAGTAGCACTCATTCTCATTTACACCTCACTACCGGAGGCAAACATTTATGAAATTATAATCAAAATAAGAAAAATTTTCAGGGGATTATTGTTTTTTTAATAAGGATTAACATTTTAGAGTGTTTAGTCAATAACCACGAAATGTGAAAATTTTGTGTGGACCAATTAGAAGTACCTTTAATATTTTAGTATTTGCCAAGAAAAAAATTTATTTTTTCACATTTCGGAAAAGCTGGTAGCGATTGCGCTTTGCCTTCATCACGTGTGTGTCTTTTTCGTTGGCAATTGTTTCATAATTGTTGTTGTTTTTTTGATAGAACATTTTTGTATGACACACTATTCAACATTCCCTTTTATTGGTCATTACATGTTATGACGATGGGTTTGAGTGTGACCGACATGACGAGACATCAAGCATTTGGTTGGATGTCACGTACTGTTGTGCGTTTGATCAAACAGGGCACAACATGACGAGCGTTTTCTCTCCATGGCATAAATAGAGAAAATTGTCACACTTGCAGCCTTTTAGTATAAATCCACGTTTAATATGTCATGCCATGATGCCAAGCTGTGTAAGTATCATCACCTGAATGTAGCTCTCGAATTGTGATTTTATACTTCAGCCATATGGCTATAGAGGGTGTATATAGAACAGTGTTGGCTTGTTTGTTCTGGATACCATAGTATTTTGTTGTTGCAAAATGATCAGGCTTAATCCCTTTATTGTTGTTTTTATAAAAACAACGTTTATTTATTAGTGGAGAACGATGGTAATGTTTTTTTAAAAAGTAACTCTTATGACAAAAAACTTTTTTTTACCCAAGTGACGAGATCTTAGATTTAATAGAGGAGGAACCAAAGAATTAAATAAAACTAAAATTCTTCTGGAAATTCTTCTAAATATTACAACCGCACTTATAAACATTTATAGGGTATATATATCATTTGATACGGTCAAAACGTGACTCATTCAAATAGCAGATTAATACCCTAGATATCTTCAGGGCATTTGGAGTCGATCTAGTAACGTTCGTCCGTCCGTTAGTCTGCCTTACTAGTATTCAATTTCGTCCATGTTCGGAGATCGGCAAAATCGGTCCACTCCTTCTGGTACCTTCCTTACAAATGGTCAAGATTTTCAAAGAATATTATTTATCACAGAAAAGAAAACGGAATTACCATTTTGGTTTAAAATTTGCAAATCCCAACTTTTTTATCAGTGTTAGGTCAGGTGCAAAAATGGACAATATCGCTCCACTCCTTTCAGCACCTCCCACATAAACGTTCAATATTTTGAATATCCGTAATCATAAAACGTAAAGTGACCATCCCATGCTTTTAAAATTTTGAACATCCCAATATTTCTACCAACACAAAGCACAGTGGTCCTAAACCGTGACAAAAAATAAAAAACCTGAATAAAATTAATATTAACTTTAGCGCTGAAAATATTCTCCTAACATATCAAATTTTAATATTCAAACTAAATGTAATTATTCCAACATTATTACACCCTCCACCATAGTATGGAGGGTATATTAAGTTTATTTATATTCATACTAGTTGGCCCGGTCCGCGTTGCCGGCCCGTAGTTTTTGTCTATTGGGCATATTTTTCCAAGCATAATTATTCACAGATATGACTGATATAAGTGTTCACGTACAGGTCGATTAAAAGTGTTTTAGAATACCTGTACCCATTTTTAAGCCGTGGGCTTCAATATTAAAACCATGTAAGGGATCAATTTTTTTAAAATTAATTTTTAATATGGCAAAAATCGTAGCAAAATCTTCAAGTCAAATGAGCAGTAATTTGGAATTTACTGTATTTTGTATACTACATAATTGAGGGCTGAATGATTTAAGAATAGCCAAAGTTAATTACTTTTTAAACCCATTAGCACCTTAGATTGTGCATTAGATTAGATTAGATCCATATAAGTCCTCCTAACCATGTCGGTCTGTTTGTCCGCCAAAAGGGGGACTTGAGAGGGTATTATTACATGGAGAAAATTCTAAAATTTGTAGATATGTTGAAATTTTTGTGTAAGATTTTCACCCCCTTATACACATTATTAGCCAAATTCTTTGAAATATGGTAAAATAAGGAGGTACCTTCTTTATATGAGCACTACTCCGAAACATCGACCTACATTGAAAACTTTCTTCTACCCCTTATAATCTAAGATGACAAATAGAGGCCAAATCAAAAATATAGCAGAACAATATAGCATGTCATGGCATTTCGCGTGATTTAAATAAGTAAAAATAGTTTTATCCACCTCATAATTGAGGGCAGAATGATAAGATGGGAATTAATTTTATTTGTCATTTAAATTGTAAGTTGGAGACCCCTTAAAGTCCATATTTTCATCATAGTATAATTCAATGATGATTCAACAAATATTCGGTCCCGTGCTACTTTCTTATATTTGTAATTTGCTCATGTTTTCACAATTTATTTCGATGTCTACGTTCCCAACCAATATTCTCTTGGGGGTTACAAATTCAATAGAATACAAAATTTTCTTTTCTGACCACACATTAGATGTGAAAGTGGCTTGGGGATACTCCAATGGGGACTTTACTTAAATAAATTCCTATGTGGCAATTATCTGTATGATGGTTCCCTACCCCAGGGTGGCATAAATAAAAATTGTTAGCCAAATCAATTGATGAATGTGGTCAAGACCAATATGGGTCCTACTCTGAAAATTTCAAATTTTATGCGAAGAGGTTCTCTACCCCCTTAGAAACAAAAATGCCAAATAAGGGCCAAAAAATGAAAAAAAGTGGCCAAGACCCCAAATATAGCTTAAATCATAGATGGTTATATAAATATGAAATCTAGTTATTCTCTTATCCGTGAGTTATGATCGATATAAAAACCTACAAAAGCGATTTAAGGTATTTTGAATGTTTGGGAAGAATTTCTGGAAGGATATAAAACCTTTTCTTACTAAAAGTCCCATTCGCTCTAGTATTTTGCACCTTTTATATTTTGTATTTTACTGATTACTCTCCCAAGAAATTTTGCATTTTGAGCTCTCATAGGACGGATCATTGTCAGATGAAAGAAGTAGGTCCACGCTTTGAAATGAGCCCCATTAGGCTTATTCGGTCATTTTTTTTTTTGTGTTCGCATCTTTCAGCCCTGGAGTTGAAGGGTAGATATCAGTTACATCCTATTTTGCACTTATTTAATTTTTTTGGTTAAAAATCGTATATAGTAAAAAATTATTCTTTATTTTGTTCACAAAAAATCCACTCAATTCAATATGATAATACATATTGAAAAAAAAATGACAAAAGAAGAATAACAAATTGAAAAAATCTTTAACTTGTTCGATGATTTTTTACAGCAAATGTTTAAAGATCCTTACAATGTTTGTCAATATAATGTGCTATTATTTTAAAATTCGATTCCATTGAAATTTTTTTTCGATTTTTTCCCGATTTGAGAATTTTCGCAATGAGATCCCTTTTTCGTGATTTTTTAGCGATTTTGAAAAAGTAATTATCTTTTAACTTTGGTGTGATCGCGTTAAGTTATTTCGATATCATCTATTCCGTTTCGCCACCACATAATTCGGTACTACACTTCCATGTAACCCGCCATAAATTTCAGTTCTCAAGAAATCAAATTCAAATCGAATTCAAAAATAAATACTACAAATGTACATTAGAAAAAGTAAGTCAAAATGGAAAAAAATCATGCAAAATAAAACATTACTATTGTACATTTGAAAAGTCAAAATGAAAATTTTAATATATCACATTTTTATGCGATTTTTTGGATATTATCCTTTTCGGAGAGGAGACAATTCCGAATTTGTGTGAATCGTTAAAATCAGTCCAGCGGTTCTTAAGTTATAAGCGTAGTAACTAACACAACTTACATTTATATATATAGATATATATATATATATCTATATATATAAAAGAAAGTTGTGTTAGTTACTACGCTTATAACTTAAGGACCGCTGGACTGATTTTAACAATTCGTACAAATTCGGAATTGTCTCCTATCCGAAAAGGATAATATCCAAAAAAATCGCGTAAAAATATGATATATTAACATTTTCATTTTGACTTTTGAAATGTACAATAGTAATGTTTTATTTTGCATGATTTTTTTTTTCCATTTTGACTTACTTT